AAAAATAATTAATCTAAATTTATTTGAACAATCAAAAAGAAAGGAACTTTAATTAAAAATAATAAAAAAATAACAATTAAAGTAAAGTTAATCAAGATATGAGGTACCAAGGCATTAATTTCACCATAATCAATCAATATGAATTTTAGATTAATATACTTTCAAAAGCAATTTATTGAGTGTTATTGCATGTGATGGAGGATTCTCCTAAATTAATTAACTAGTTTTCTTAAGTCAAGTTAATCCTTCACTTTGTTAAATTAATCATATCTCTATGTAATTTTAAACAAACTAATGAGTATTAAATTCTATGGAAACCTCTAGTTTAAGAAGGGAGAGCTTCTAACTCTCTTCTCTTCCTCCACTACCACATGTGAGTTAATTACCTCTCATTCTCATAGTCTAACACACGGTTTATATTATTATTAATCTAATTTACACAATACTTTCTCAAGTTTATGCATAAATCACTAAATCAATCGAGAGGTGATCAGGTTTTCAATGCATTAAATTTAATAATATAAACTTCTCATGCGAATAACTTTAATTGAAAATATAAAAATCACAAAATATATATTAAATTGATTAGGCTACATTATAGCCTTAATAAAATAAATTAGTTCATGATAAAAATGATAAAATATAATATCGTAGTTATGAATATAAGAATATCAAGGAAGAATAAAATCTAATTTGAGGAAATTGAAATCCTTAATCTCCTATTATTGATGAATCTCTATTTTGATTTCCAAAAATGCCCAAAAAAAAGTTGTTGCCAGCCTCCAAAACTCCCTTGAAGCTCTCCTCCAAAGGTCTCCTCTAAAGCTCTCCTTTAAAACTCATAACTTGGATGAGTATTTATAGGGTTTTAGAAACCTTAATTCGAATAGAAGTGGGATCCACGTACACTTAAAATAATAAATTAAACACGAATTTGTGAAAATCGCATAAGGGGTCAACACCTTCAACAAGGTGTCGAGACCTTCTGTTCAGCGCACCTGGTTTTTGGCCTTCTAAGAAATTTTTGTTAATGGTGAAATAACAGTCTTGGTCCCTCACTTTTGGATTTGCACAAGTTAATCCTCATGTTTCTGATCTTTGCAATTTGCTCCTAAGAATTTTAAGTTCTTCCAATTAAGTCTTTTTCTATACAAAGAATGAAAATCATGTAAAATTAAGTAAAGTATCATAAAACTCATCCAAATATCAATAATATCAAGGCACCAATTTCATATTAATATCTACATATATTCAACTCATCACGAGGCAACCCCATGTCCAGGAATACTACTAGTAATTTAATGGCCATCTAGCTACTTATAAAAGTTTCAAATAAATACTAATAAAAGCTTGAGTTGGTATTCAATAATTTATTTATTTGGTGAGATTAGTGTGGAGAAAGTCATTCTTTTAATATAATTTTTAAGACTTACTTAAAAACTTAAATTTTAATTAACATTTTTAAAATTTAATTTTTAGATTAAATATTTTATGCATATAAATCTTATATGTTAATTTTTAAATTAATTTAACATTTATAACCTTTTGATAAAAAATTTTTATTTATTGATATATATTTACAATATTAAGTTTTTCTATAATCGACAAGATGATAAGATATATTAAACTAATATAAACACTAACATGTATAATTTGTATGAATATAATATTTAATCTAATGAATATTTTTAAAACATTGATTAAAATAGGTTAAAAAATCATTTTGGTCCTTCAACTTAAAAAAGTACTAAAATTTTCTTTGAATTTTAATTTTTAATACCAACTGTTTAGGCAGCTATACAAACCTAGACTGTAGAGATCTTCAATTGCTTCAACACCTAAAAAAACCTAAGGATGTATTCTCGGGGAAAACACTACGACGTTCAAGTTAGCAATACTTGATATTCTAGAGAGAGAAGCTCTTGAGAGTAATTGTAAAGAGAGAAGCGTAGTGGAGTAATTGCCTTGCATGGAGGTAGGTGGGGGTATTTATAGCCCCTTGTTGATCGTATCACGCTCCACATGTAAATACTCAACTAATCCACATGTCATCGCCCACATGGGTGCATGGGTTTGCGGACATGTTCATGGGCCTATTGGGCAAGATGTGCAGAATTTGGGCTTATCCCCAACATTACTCCACCCTTACGAACTGGGGTGATCGTAAAGGTGGCCCAACATTCATCATGAAAGGCCTAGATCACATGTGAGCTCATCGCAATGTGAGATCGTCGTCACGGTTACTTTTAGCATCTCCTATATTTAATCAGGCTTAGGCTCGGACGATTTGGTGTGCCAACAGCGGGGTCAGCCTTGTTTTTCTTTTCAGAACAACCTCACTAATAATGATTCTGAAATATTCAAAACAAATCTCGATGTTGAACACATAGTAGATTTGAAGCCGATGTAATTGAACGAGCTAGTATTGAATGACCTGATCCATGGGGGGGAACCTTTCGACATTTTTAACACTAAACACAAGTTTCCATGGAAGAATGGTTCATATCGATCAACAAATCAAGAGATGGTATTTTGAACGACATCATTTTGGACGAGCTAATCCATGGTAAATTTCACAATAAGAAACAGATCCTAACTGTTTGATCGAGCAAGATCAACGAATCAAGAGATAGTATTTTCGAACGAGCTCATTTTGGATGGGCTGATCCATGGCAAATTTCACAATTATAAACAGATCTTAATTGTTTGATCGAATAAGCTCGTTTTGAACGGGCTCTATTTCAAAATCGGAAACAGATCTTTGTGGAGATATGGTTTAGAACGGTTAATCTCCTTCAGCCACCCCACAATAAATGCTTGTTCAGCATTTGAAGGGATGTGATATCTAAAGTCGGCCGCATTATACGCCAGCCTTTAAATCGTTGCCACTGGTGGGGATTTAACTGGCGCGTCGCATATATGTACGAAGATTGAAATTGCATGAACCGTAAAAAAAAAGAACCAGAAACAATTGTATCACCATTTTGTCTGTTTGGTCTTCTACAGTTTTTGTTGCCATTTTGTTGCAGCAACGAAGGTATTCGAAGTTTTGGAGTGAAGTTCTAAAGCTGTTGGTGTAAAGCAACAACACGTTTTTAGAACTCAGGTAAAAATGGATATTTTTAGAGAGCTTAGAGAGCTTCAGGGTAAGCAAGGGAGGGAAGAGGAAGAGGATGTTGTATCTGTAGAGCCGATTGCAATGGTGGTGCCATCGGCGTTACAGGCAAAGTTATTGATTGTGTTTCGTACCAGTCGGTACATACCAATTTTTGCATTAATTCAAAATGGTACAACATCTAATTTCATTTTGGTCAAATTTCGTCAATTTCAATCAAAATTTGGTGTACCGGCTGATATTTCAGTGTGCCAGCCGGTACACCAAAAATGTTTCGGTAAAAGAAATCAATGCAAATTGGAATGAGCAGTGCCCCTAGCGCTCACCTCTTGCACTCTCCAACCTACACATGCCTTTTTATTGGGCCACGTAAGTTTGCTTGAAGGCTATGAAATCCACCTCTTTCAACCAAAATAACATGGCCCAATGAAAATGGAAGTGTTGGTTAGAGAGTGCAATTGGCGAGTGCCTCTAGTATTACTCAATTGAAAAATATGTCAGCGGTACAAAGTCAATTCAAATTTGAAAAATGTGTCGGTACAAAAACAATTCAAATTTGAAAAGGTCAATTTTATTTCTAGTCCTTAATTTTAAAGTTTTATGTAATTTTTATTTTTCAATTTTTTATATATTTTTTTAGCCCATTAACTATGAAAAATGTATTTTTTAAATTTTTTTATCAGTTATTCAGTTAAGTTTGTCTAAATATACATATTTAATGTTCAAAAAAAGAAAAAAATTTATGAATATTTTATAAAATTAGTTATTTTAAACTTGTTTTTAATTTATAAGAATATAGTTTTTAATTTATAAGAATATAATTTATAAAAATATATATTTATAGTGATAAATTTGAAATGGTACACGAAAAATTTCGGTATCCGATACGTACCATTCCAGTAGCAAAACTGATACGTATATCAGCATGGTATCGACAACTTTGGTAATAGGACCTACTGGAGTTTATCACACTAGAGAGTAGTGCCAGTTCCAACACAAATGGTGGCTTTGGCAACTATCACTCTTCTGCCTTTGGAAGTTCGTCACTAGAGGCAATGCCTTTGGTAGCCACGATGCTTCAGTGTTGACGAGTACAAAAGAGAGTGTGCCGGTAATGGATGCGTCGGAGAACATGCTCATTACTGGGAAATTAGACAAATCCGCAAGGCATCAGAAAGTTTGCCCGCTGAATTTAGGTTCAGGGCAGCATTTCATCACAAGGTAGCAGATGGTGCCGCCAAAATAAAAGGGTATAAAAAATTAGGGGAAATAGTAAGACAGTTCCAGATCCCTAGGACGATATTGGTCTAAGCTGGAATAAAGAACGAAAGGGCGTGCTCAGTATCAAGAACTAGATGGATACCAGTTTACGTGGACCACTTTGACGTTGGCCTACAATTTCCCTTGCTCAGCTTAATTTTTATCGTTTTAGTAGAGTATGGATTGGCCTTAACACAACTAACTCCCAACAGCATAAAATTTAGGTTAAGGTACCATTTTGGTCCCTCAACTTCCCACTTTGGCACCAAAATTGTCCCTCACCTTTAAAAAGTACCAAAATTAACCTTAAACTTTTATTTTTGGTACCAAAATGGCCCTTCCGTCAGTTAAATGACAGGTGGCACGTTAAAATGCCACAAAATCAATTCTTTTTTTGCTTGACTAATGACATGGAAAAAAAAAAAAACAAAGTTGGCCATCTTTTTTTATGAGGTGGCATTTTTATTTAATTTAAAAATTTTGATATCCTTTTTTTCCATCCACGTCATCTCTTCTTCCTCTTTC